ATTGTGTTTAGTATTTTGTTAGTTTAGTCTGTTAGTGTGAAACATGCAGCGCATGTACAGCTCGGAGGAGGCATATGCCTTCTTGGCGTCAGACTCTGACGCCACTGACACTGCGTCCGATTTTGACACAGGTCAGTTTAGCGGCACGTCTAGTGACATGTCATCTGTGTGTGAGCCAGCTGCTAAAAGAAGCTGTGCTTCCCCTGCTACGCCAAATGTGGAGAAGGACTGGGTACCTCCACAGTCAGCTGAGCCCAACATCCCCCCTCTTAGTGCCAACGCAGGCATTAATGTGAATGTGGTTGACTTCTCCCCTATACAATATATGGAGTTATTTTTAGGGGATACCATCTGGGAGGAGATTGTTTCCCAGACTAATTTATAAGCTAGCCAATTTATTGAGACCAATCCAGGTAGCTATACAGTCAGGGAGCATGCTTGGCATCGCACAGATGTCCCTGAACGTAAAACATTCTGGGCTCTTACCATGCTCATGGGGATAATAAAGAAGCCATCAATCCGCTCTTACTGGAGCACCAACCCAATTTGTTCGACTCCTATATACTCCCAAACAATGCCTAGACCAAGATATGAGCTGCTGCTGAGATACTTACATTTCAACGACAATACGCTCTGTCACCCCAGAGATCACCCCCAATATGATAAGCTACATAAAATACGCCCACTGGTAGACCATCTTCAGAACAGATTTTCTGAAGTTTATTCTCCCCAACAAAATGTATCTATTGATGAATCCTTTATGAAATATAAAGGGAGATTAGGGTTCAAACAGTATATCCCCTCAAAGCGGTCTAGGTATGGCATTAAAGTGTTCAAACTGTGCGAGAGCGAAAGTGGCTACACATTTGCCTTTCGTGTATATGAAGGGAAAGATGCTCAACTGAACCCTCCTGGCTGTCCTGACTCTCTGGGGACAAGTGGGAAACTTGTTTGGGACCTACTGATCCCCTTGTTCAGTAAGGGTTACCACCTTTATGTGGACAATTTTTACAGCAGTGTCCACTTGTTTAAAATTCTTTATAGTTTGCAGAAACTGGCCTGCGGCACTGTAAGAAGAAATGCCAAGGATTTCCCCAGACCTCTCATAGAGGCCAAATTAAAAAAAGGTGAATGCAAAGCTCTGCGCAAAGCTGAACTGCTTGCGCTAAAATTTAAGGACAGGAAGGATGTTCACATGCTAACAACCATCCATAACGAAGGCATGTCAGACATCACTGTCCGAGGCAGGGTACAGACTAAACCTGTTTGCATCAGGGCTTATAAAATGCACATGGGGGTGTTGATTTGGCTGATCAGCTGATGCAGCCATATCTTATCTTAAGAAAGACAAAAGCCTGGTATAAAAAGGTGGCTATCTACCTGTTGCAAGTAGCAACACATAATTCATTTTTACTCTTTAAAAAAATGAATCCAGGAAGAACCACCTATCTCCAATTTCAGCTCAAGCTGATTTCCACAATAATTTATGGAGATGGTCAAGTTCCAACAACGGTGCAAGAGGAGTCTAGACATTTTATTTTTAAGATACCGCCAACACCAAAAAAAAGAAATCCCCAGAAAGTTGCCGGGTCTGTTATGAAAAAGGGAAAAGGACAGACACCCCTTTTCACTGTCCCGATTGTCCTACAAAACCTGGACTGTGTATTGGAGCATGTTTTAAGGTCTACCACACAGAAAATACATTTTTATAATACTTGTTCCTGATTTATTTATTTTGTTTATTTTGAAAGCAGCAAATTTCTGTTAGTCAGTATCCTTCCCCCAAATCTCCAGTTAGATTCTTTTTGCAGGAGTTAGTTTACAAATTGCTGCTAACTGAAGTTTTAGTCTGCTTCTATCAGTTTTAGTCTGTTTTTAGTATAAAATAAAAAAAAAATTGTGTGTTAGTAACTCTGTGTTAGTCAGACTCTGACGCCACTGACACTGCGTCCGATTTTGACCCAGGTCAGTTTTCTGATACATCTAGTGACATGTCATCTGTGTGTGAGCCGGCTGCAAAAATAAGCTGTGCTTTCTCTCCTACGCCGAATGTGGAGGAGGAACGGGTTTCTCCACAGTTAGCTGAGCCCTAAATCACCCCTTTTAGTGCCAAAACAGGCATTAATGTCAATGTGGATGACTTCTCCCCTATGCAATATATGGAGCTATTTTTAGGGGATACCATCTGGGAGGAGAATGCTCCCCAGACTAATTTATATACTACCCAATTTATTGATACCAATCCAGATAGCTATGCAGTCAGGGAGGAGTGTGCTTGGCATCCCACAGATGTCGCTGAACTTAAAAAATTCTGGGCTCTTAAAATTCTCATGGGGATTATAAAGAAGCCATCAATTCGCTCTTACTGGAGCACCAACCCAATCTGTTCTAGTCCAGTGTACTCTCAAACCATGTCTAGAACAAGATTTGAGCTGCTGCTGAGATACTTACATTTCAATGGCAATACCCTCTGTCACCCCAATATGATAGGCTTCATAAAATACACCCACTGGTAGACCATCTTCAGCACAAATTTACTGAAGTTTATACTCCTCAAAATTTTTTATCTATTGATGAATCGTTAATGAAATATAAAGGGAGATTAGGATTCAAACAATACATCCTCTCAAAGCGCTTTAGGTATGGTGTAAAATTCTACAAACTGTGCGAGAGCGAAAGTGGCTATACATTTGCCTTTCGTATATATGAGGGGAAAGATGGTCAACTGGACCCTCCTGGCTGTACTGACTCTCTGGGGACAAGCAGGAAACTTGTTTTTGACTTACTGATCCCCTTGTTCAATAAGGGTTACCACCTTTATGTGGACAATTTTTATAGCATTGTCCGTTTGTTTCAAACTCTTTAGGGTTTCTAGATACTGGCCTGTGGCAGTGTGAGAAGATATGCCAAGGATTTCCCCAGACCTTTTATAGAGGCCAAATAAAAAAAAGTGAATGTAAAGGTCTGCACAAAGCTAAAGTGCTTGCAATAAAATTTAAGGACAGGAAGGATGTTAATATACTAACCACCATCCATGACGAAAGCATGTCAGACGTCACTGTCCGAGGCAGAGTACAGACCAAACCTGTTTGCATCAGGGCTTATAAAATGCACATGGGGGTGTTGATTTGGCTGATCAGCTGATGCAGCCATATCTTATCTTAAGAAAGACAAAAGCCTGGTATAAAAAGGTGGCTATCTACCTGATGCAAGTAGCAACACATAATTAATTTTTACTCTTTAAAAAAATGAATCCAGAAAGAACCACCTTTCTCCAATTTTAGTTCAAGCTGATTTCCACAATAATTTATGGAGATGGTCAAGTTCCAACAACGGTGCCAGAGGAGTCCAGACATTTTATTTTTAAGATACCGCCAACTGCAAAAAAAAACAAATCCCCTGAAATGTTGCTGGGTCTGTTATAAAAAAGGGAAAAGGACAGACACCCCATGGCACTGATTTTTTTTCTTTTGAAAACAGCAAATTTTAGTTAGTCAGTTTCCTTCCCCCCAAATCTCCAGTTAGATTCTTTTTGCAGGAGTTAGTTTAGAGAATGCTGCTAAAGGTGCATTTGATACCTGCACATTTGGTTAAAAAAGTTTTATGGTAGCAACATATAACTGGCTGGCCAAAACCAGATGACGTGTGCATAGAAAGCAGAATTCAAAAATTACCACCATGCACGTTCTCTGAAATGTTTTTAGCACAATGGTTGGGGGAAGGATGTGAAAACACCTCATATACAATACCCTGGAATGTCTTCTTTATAAAAATATAAACTTTCATGATGTTAACATTAACGGGGGGATACAGCAATATGCCAAACTGAAGATAGGCCAAGCATACCTATATATCAAGTTGAAAAACTGATATGTACAAGTCTCGATTGTGGCCTTTTAGCCCCCAAACAACCCAGCAAACCTATGCATGGGTGATATCACTGTGGGGTGTTGTTTGGCAGTGATACATAACAGGATCTGTTAATTCATGCCTAAAGTACAATGTATGTGTAAAAAAACACAAAGAAAATTACTACCCAAAAGTTTGCCAAAGGCTGGTGGTAGAATTATTGCATGAAAAGTATTAAACTACCACCATTTAAAATACAAAAAGATATGGAAGGGCTGCGCCAAATAAGGGTAGATAGTCCAGTAAAGTATTGCTAGGGTGCCAATAGATGGTCTAGGATACTTGATAGAGTTCCTCTGTGGATGCGTCTGGTGTAGACCGTTCCTATATGTAAATACAAGAGAGGTAGAGGCGACTAATGGTATAGTATGAAAGTTCAGGGTGTGATAGGTAACAAAAAGTAAAGAACTCACATTCAGGAGAGCTATGGCCAGCTCTGGTGTGGATTGTGTACAGCGGTATAATCCCCGCTTATGGGATATGTAGGGAGGGGTCTCCGTCAGCACCGTCTGGTAGTCCAGAGCTCGAAAAAGAAAGACAGAAAGCAACAATAGTGCTCTCAATTTTGATGTGGTTCAATGTGCAGATAAGAAGAGGTAAAAAACTCACATTTGAGGGAGCTATGGCCAGCTCTGGTGTGGATAGCGTACAGCGGTATAATCCCCGCTTATAGGATATGTAGCGGCGATACGTCCGTCAGCACCGTCTGGTGATCCAAGGCTCCAATATAGAAGAATAAAAAGCAGCAATAGTGCTCTCAATTGTGATAGGTTAAGAGAGTAGTAGAGAAAATAAAATAATACTCACAAAGATAGAGCAGAGGTACTGCTCTATGGATAGGCGCCGGTGGTATGATCCCCACCTAGGATTTCTTGGAGTACTGGAACTTTAAAATTGCCAATGGAAGTAAAAGTAACCAGGAAAGGTTAAAATGCCAGGAATAGGTAAAAACAAAAGTTGTTTAAAGTGCATAAAGAGTGCAATAAAAAGAGGATTGGTACAATAAAGTAGCCAAAAAACTTTTATTGATCTAAAATACACAGTAAAATACAGAATTCATAACCATAAACGCGTTTCACCATAAGTGGCTTCTTCAGAATGGGATAAACCATTTAAAATACCCTGGGTTGTCTACTTTTCAAAAATATATGGTTTGATGCGGGTAAAATACATTGACCCAAATAGGACAGGGGCACCGGTTTACTACATGTCAAAATTCCAAGTTGAAAAATGGATATGCGCACCTGCCAAATGTGGCCTTTTAGCCCCCAAACAACTCAACAAGCCTATGCATGGGTGTTATCACTGTACTCAGGAGATGTTGCTGAACACATATTGGGGTGTTGTTTGGCAGTGACACATAACACAATCTGTTAATTCATGCCTAAAATGCAATGTGTGTGAAAAAAACACACAAAAAAGTACTACCTAAACGTTTGCCAAAGTCTGGTGGTAGAATTAGTGCATGGAAAGTGTTAAAAAACCACCATTTGAAATACCCTAGGGTGTCTACTTTCCAAAAATATATGGTTTGGTGGGGGTAAAATACATTGGCCGGCCTTACAAATGTCCCAAATAGGACATGTGCGCAGGTTGACTACATGTCAAAATTCCAAGTTGGAAAATGGATATGCGCACCTGCCAAATGTGGCCTTTTAGCCGCCAAACAACTCAACAAGCCTATGCATGGGTGGTATCACTGTACTCTGGAGATGTTGCTGAACATATATTAGTGTGTTTTTTTGCAGCAAGACATAACAGGATCTGTAAGTTTATACCTGAATTGCAATGTATGTGACAAGAAAACTACCTATGCGAAGTTTGGCAAAGACTGGTGGTAAAATGGCTGCATTGAAAGTGTCAAAATATCCCGGGTGTCTACTTTAAAAATTTTTTATACATGTGGAGTGTTTTCCAGATATTTATGACAGATAATAGTGTTACAATGTCACTATTGATAAATTTTAAAAATGTTTGTTTTGAAACCACCATATCCTACTTGTACCTATAGCCCTATAACTTGCAAAAAAAAAGCAAAAAAGCAGGTAAACTCTGGGTATTTTTAAACTCAGGACAAAATTTTGAATCTATTTACCAGTTTTTTTCATTCGCTTTTGTAGATGAGAAAAAGATTTTCCAAGTTAAAGTAAAAATTTCTTTTATTTTTTTCAATTTTTCATCATATTTTTTCATTTTTTTTAAAATTAAATTACATGAGATTATATAAATAATGGTATGTAAAGAAAGCCCCTTTTGTCCTGAAAACAACAATATATAATTTGTATGGGAACAGTAAATGAGAGAGCGGAAAATTACAGCTAAACACAAACACCAGAAAAGTGTATAAAGAGGCCTGGTCGCAAATGTACAACATCGCAAAAACAGTCCAGTCCTTAAGGGGTTATAGGAGGGGGACTCTGAGTTGGAATTTGTGGCCTTTTCCTACATTTTCCTGTATCACAATGTTAAAAATGGTTGTCTGGTCATGGTCTACATATATTTATTGTGGATTTTCTTTTGTGTTGAGGACATTCTCTGATGATCTCTATACGTTTTTGCTTTTAGGAATTGGTTTTCCAACCTCCTACCTAATACTGTTAGCACACTAGACAGGAATAATTTTTCCTTATTTGTTTTCTTTTTAAATATTTGTGTGCAAAAAAAACTTTCCTTGTTACAAATTTTGCCTGGGGAGTCACACTTTTTTTATGGGCACATTAGACTTTTCCCAATGGTCATCAAGAAGTATACTCCTTAGTGGATGAACACCATTTTTATAAAGCCACTAGTGTTTCTTTGAGATTGTATTCTAATTCCAGCCTCACACTGGGGCTTGTCCAATTGGCCCCTCCCACTTTTTACTTGCTCCTTGCCTTCTGGTAGCTTGTTATTAAACAGTTCTGTGGTGTAGGTGTAGACTAGGTCAGTCTGAGATGCAGTGGCGGATCCAGAGCCTGATCTCGGGAGGGGCACTTGTAGATTATTTAAAGAAATAATCCAGACACAATAACCACTACAGCTCAGTGTAGTAGTTATGGTGTCAATAGTGCCGGGACCCCCTCCCACAGTAAGTAGTCAAACCGTTTAAGAACAGTTTGACAACTTACCTGAGATCTGCTGGGAAATGGGGCTGTAGTAGGGCATAGGAGCAGTGGTGTGGGTGAGTGGTGCAATGTGTAAGGGGTGCAGTGTGTGTGTGAAGGTTGTAGTGTGTGAGTGAGGGCGGCAGTGTATGTCAGGGATGCAGTGTATGTGTGGGACAGTATGTGTGTGTAACAGTTGCAGTGTGTGTGTATGGGGGGCAGTGTGTGTGTATGGGGGCAGTTTGTGTGTATGTGGGAGCAGTGTGTGTATGTGGGGGCAGTGCGTGTGTATGAGGGGCAGTTTGTGTGTATGGGGGCAGTTTGTGTGTATGGGACAGTTTGTGTGTATG